ACATTAGAAAGCTCTGGAGCGGGAGGGAGTCCAAGGTTGGACAAACCCTGCGTCATTAAAACAAACGAACCACAGCCACCACCACCAAAAAGCAGGCTTACTGTTACTTGACTAACGACTGGCAGAACCATCCGGATACGGCCTTCAGTCCTCCTTCAGGCCCGGAAACCAACTGTCACCGTGAGTCCATTTTCAGCCAAACGACCAACTGACTACAAAGAGAGAAACAGCCTCACCTCACTGCCATCGGGGGTCCGGACTCCGAGCAACCCTGTAGGACAGGGTAGAACTGTTCCTGTGGGTTTTCCGAGATGGGGACTCTTCATGGGAGTAGGAAGCCCCCTGTCTTTCTCCTGCTGAGAAACGTGATTTCAAATCACACACGTGTAACCGCTGTGCCGCCAGTGTCGCGGCGGGGTGGGGCGTGAGGGGGTGTGCAGCACTAGAGCAACCCTAAAACCAAACTGGCTGCTATCTAGTTCATTCCGACTCGTAGCCACCGTTCCATAAAACACCCAGCCATTCGAGGGCAAAGGGCAACATGTGCCCAGGGCAAAGGTGAGAAGGTTTGATGGGCCTGGAGAGAAGGGGGGTGGCCACGGGGGCACAGCGAGGCCGTGGGGAAGGGTGAGTGCTGTCACATTGTACAGATTGCAACCAATGCCCTGAAACAACGTGTGTGAACTCTTGATGGGAAACTGATTTGCTCTGTAAACCTTTGCCCGGTCCACGACACAAACTTAAAATGTTTGTGATACTGTGACCACGAGGAACAGAAGAAGATCGTTTTAAAGACCCTTTAATACAATGCATGCCACGTATGAAGGGTAAGGGGCGCAGGGTTCAAAGAAGTTCAGGCTGCACAGCTGTAAGGGCAGAGCCAAGGTTCCTGAATCCCACTGCTGCTGCTGGCCCGAGAGGCATGGGGAGGGGCGACACCTCAGTGGAAGAGCAGGGGACCAATTGTGCTTGGCCCAGATGCTCCTGGGCAGGTCTGTGCCCCGACTCCCTGTAGCAGCGACATCATCGCCTGTCAACTTGAGCGGAGTGGTGGAGTCTAGCCTGTCATTCAGGTCACAGCCAAAGAGGCCTCTGTGTGGACATGGCCTTCTCCTGAGGATGCTAGGAACCCCTGTCTTCCTCCCAGGAGGTGGGGCGCACACACACTGCTACATATTCCTGTTGACAAGCCACGTGGAGCCACGCTGATGGCAGCCAGAGCCCTGGAGCTGGAGGAGCCACGTGGAGCCCTACACCGGTGGTGAGGTGCTTCCACTGCCACTGGATCTGCAAGACCTTCTACCCACTGGCCTGTGATCTTCCTGCATTCGGCATCGTTGCATGTGCTGTGTAAGTCTATGGATTAGTATCGGACACATGGGCTAATATCAGACTTAAGGACTTGATCTGGACTGGTCTGGGATGTTTTATCAATATACAATTGCTCTTGTATATAAAGCTCTTTCTTATACACATATGAGTGTCTCTGGATTTGTTTCTCTGGTCCACCCAGACTAATACACTCCTCCTGAGAGAAAAGTCACATTCCCAGAGGACGAGGGCTTTTCCGGAGTTTGCAGTGGGGAGAGAGTCTGAGACAGGGTGTCTCCCAGGCTCCTTGGTGTTAGAGGAGACCCTCATACTCTCTCTGGGGACACAGGTGTCCTTACAGACCTGGACCCAGACCCGGAAGCCACTCTGGGCCAGTCTGAGATGGCGTGTGCTGCCTACTGTGATGTAGGCCCCATTGTCTTTTGTCTGCATTGTGTGCGCAGCTGCCCTGAAGGAGGCTCATGAAGTTCCCAGTACAACATGACCGTGTGCCCGTAGCCCAGAGCTGCTGGACAGAACCAATGCCCCATGGCTTTAAGCATCTGACAGTCATCCCGCCTCGGCGCTGGAGGCCAGAAGCCTGGGATCAAGGTGCCTCGCTCCCTCTGAAGATGCTGGGGAGGATCCTCTCTGGCTTTGGGGGCTCCAAGCCTCCCCTTTTGTGGCCACATCACTCCAGTCTCTGCCTCTGCCCTCCCCTGGGCCTTCTCTCTCAGCCCTGTCTTCTCTGTGTGTCTCTCCCAAGGACTCCAGCCATTGGATTGGGGAACTGCCTGGGCTATCCAGGTGGTAGCCCCCTCCTCTAAAGACCCTTAATCATACCTGCAAAGCCCCTTTCCTACTAAGGTCACACTCGCAGGCTCTAGGGTTAGGACATGAGCAGAGCCCGTTCGTGGGGACACTGTTCAACCCACTACCCACCTGTGGCG